GCACAGGTTAGTAACTGCTTCCCTTATCCCCTCTTTTCGCGTGTGCGAGAGAGAACGCACAGACACGAAACAGAGTGCATCCTTTTCTACGTGAGCTCTACCCCCACTCCGCCAACCAGCAGTCTAGATATACTATGTCTATGTATGCGGCACAGGAGCCATCCCCACTCCTACCCCCACCACCACTATAGCGATGTGGCAGACGTTCTCTCTGCGGAATCACTGCTCGGGCCGGGCCCGGAAACTATAGGCTTGTTTTCTGTTCCTATAACACTGGTCAACTAGTGCAATAAATTGGAGTAAGACAAGCATATTTTTTTCTCTTTGCGTCTAGAAACATTCTATTTTGTAGCCAATAAATACGTTTAAAAAATTTGTGCAAGTTGATAAATCGTAAAATTTTTGGAGCGTTTTCATTTGACTTACCTGAAACAGAATGTCTCTAGATCCAAAGAGCACATAGATCAGGCTCTACTGTTACTTTTGTCGTACGACACATTTTTTAAGCCTGTCGATCGGTTGCAAAATAGAAAAGTTGTTGAATCTCTAGAAATTATCTATGACAAATGTAATATTAGGCTTAGGCCTACAATTAGATTTCGAAGCCTCTTCACGTAATTCATAGGGAGCTTGAATAGTGCCCCGATTGTTTACCGTTACCATTGTTCTCGCGAGACTTATGACACGTTGTTGCTTGTTGCAGGATGTATAGCCTGATGGGAATACCGGATTCGCGGCTGCCATTCAGGGTTCTCACCGCGTATTTTATTACCCAACTAATATTCGCTTTCGTACTCATGGACGCCTTGGCCCCTGCAGCGTAAGTTACCGAAAGAAAATTATCACTCGCGTTATTGCATGGTTGTTGCGTACGTACGTACACGCCGCTGAACAATAATTCGTCGAGATAATTCGCTGTATAACTCGTCAAATTATCTCAGAGACGTAGTTTTGTCTCGTCGTTTGCTTATTAACAATACAATTTTTAACGGAAACTCGATGAATCATTTTCCATGCGCAACAATATCCGCCTCGATTGACAAAGTTTAAATAAAAAAATAAAATTTAAATTTACATAGGCCAATTAGATTCACGAGCAATGTTGGTTTTAAAAGGTTTTTAATAATTAATGTGCTATCATATTGGTCTTAACATTTAAAACAGTAACGAATCTAACGATATGTATAACGATGTGTAACAAACGTTTCAACATAACTTTGCCTTCTTCAGCGTTTGTTTGTATCAATTGAAAGACAGAACGATCCCATTTTTCGTGGAGAGATCAATTTCATTTCGTCACTGAGGTTTAAAATTCGATTTTTCTCAATCCTATTCCACATTGGCAGATATAGAAGGGATCAGTCAAAGTGATATAATTGTCAGTATTGTAAAATTTTGGTTCATGTGTTTTATAAAGAATCATGGATTCGTTCTTCCACTTTCAATGTCTTGTCTGCGACTGAAAGAAAGAAAAGACAGTATCTCGATCTTTTACAAACGCGTTTTAGGGAGCATCAAAGGGTGTGCAGTAGACTTCACTTCCTGTGGAAAAGCCTGCGGAAGTTGCGGAGCGAGAAACCAGGATTGGTAAGAATACGTTTGTCCTCTCTCAAAGAGAAAATCTTGGAAAAGATTTGAAAAAGTTTTTTTTTGCAATTTCTCAGCACTGTGTCGTCCTGTGTCTCGTGGCCTTTGGCCTGTGGCTGAGCGGACACATCAATCCATCGACTCGTCACTCGATATACTGGGGCATTGTACTGGGATCTCTGATACTGCAGTTACCCATAAAATTATCTGACAGATTCTCGGAGTACTTCATGTCGCACAGAGGTAACGAAAAGTACCTAAATTTCTCTGAGAAAGAAAAGATTTGATTTATCGTCAGTTGCTTTCTATCCGATTTCCAGACTTAAAATAGAAGGGGCTACCTCATGGCTGGTCTATTTTTATGTTCGTTCATTTTTTCAGAATGGCAATGCGACAGCGAAATCGAGGATGAATTTTTACCTGTTGTAACAGAGGCGAATCTGCAGGTATTGAATCGAGTTGGGGAGACTGGTGATCATTCGCCAACACCGACGAGCGTGCAGTCGGACACTCAGAATGGTATTGCGACAATTTCTAACTTGATAAATTCAACATAATCTAATTCGCGGCCTAGATACGCAAATTCGCCTATTTTCGATAACTTGTCTGTAATATTTAGAGAAATAATCGATATATACCGTCTTACTTATTGCTCGATAATTCAGAGTGGAATAAAGTCGTTTTATCACCGCGCAATTTTCTCCGTTACATCTCATCGCGTTGCTTGCAGATTCTTTTTACGATGAGGATTTCATAGAGGGTCTCCAGGAGATAGCGTTCAATATGCCCTACCACGGTGAGGGTAGCACCGACGACGTCGAGCTATCGGAGTTGGAACTCTGCGTTGACGAGAACGACGCCGAAGAGGACGGCATAAAGTTTCAGACCGGTCACTTCGAGAAGAGCTCGTCTTCTTCCGAGGAGGAAGTTTTTGACGGGAAGAAAATAATCGCTGTAAGCAGCGACGAGAGCAACGGCGACAGCGACTTCGAGATAATCGACAAGGAGGAAATAACAAGGATGGAGATGTGATAAAATTCGACCGGCGAAAAGAGAACGAGGGATTATCGCTAACGATTAAGATGTCATGTCAAGCTGAAAGAAAGCCATCTCTGATCTCTGCAGTCGGCCGTGAATGAAATAAAAAAAAATTTAATGTAATTACGATAAACAACAGCGACCTCGCTTGAAACACGATTGTCTCCAGGCCGAATGTGATGATAAATTGAAATAAATAAGGTATTATGTAAGTCATAATATTGTCTCCCGATCGCAACGTTGTACCCGCGCGTACAAAGTATCGATCTTGATTGGAAAGCGTGAAGATGAAAGCAAAATTTATTTATTTAGACGAATTCAGTCGAACGCCCGTATTCTCCTGCTTCTCTGCTGCTTTTATCTTGCGCTACTCTCCCTTTGTACAAGAAGTAACGAAGAATAGATAGGCGGAGACCCGAGAATAAGGGGACTCGACTGTAGATACATATGTATGTACAATATGATACCACTGGTAATTGTATTTAATGTCTTGAACGATAAATAAGCGTATGTACATTTGCAATGTAATAAATATGCACCTGTGTACAAACGTTTTAACCTGAAGAGTCAGTTTGATCTACTTGCTACGATTGAGCAATTTTTAATGGCGCTGTACGACAGTAAGGACGCAAAAGGTACCTAATATGATCAATAAAAGCTGCACTCCGGTAGCGCAAACAAATATTTTAGATATGTAAGAATGTATTATATTGTAACATGTGTCTGTGAGATGTGTAAAAAAACAAAATGCGCGAGAAGATATTGACGAAGTGTTTGTCGAGTCTGACGCGTTTTTGTAGCCCGTTTATAATTGGTGTTTGCCGTCTTGCTCTTGTCTACGCATCTCGTATATTTGAAAATACACGACAGACGATACAAAAATATAATGTTGTTATTATGTGCACGCTCTCCTTGCGCAATAATTTCCGGCAATCTCTGCAGTATTCGCGAAATAGCAAACAGGATTGACGTCGAAACAAAGTGAACCTTTTAGAAATATTATTAAGATTATAATTTATATTCGGATAAAAAAATCTGATTTGATTTAATCAACTGGTCTGTATTTTGATTTTTTGTATATTTGTGTATACATAATTGTACAAATTATATTTCTGAAAAATTTTACTTTTACTTTTTCTTTTGCACGTTTTACTTACTTTTTTTATATTACATTACTGTTTGTGTATTTACGTTCATTTACGTTATAGGTGAATTTTCGTTTAAGATTACCTTCGAGTCTGCATTGCCCTCGAGCCTATTATCGCTTTCCTCAGCGCAAACATCTTTAACAATCGCCACTGTATTATTTACATCAATCGTCACCGTACTATTTGCATCGACTGGTTCTGCTTTACTTGTATCAATCGGCGTTGCATTATTTACATCAACAGGTTTCAAGTCTCGCAGCTTATCCTCTTTGGATTGCACAGGAACGATCGGCCGTGCGTTCTTCCTTTCCGGCAACACTTTTAGAAACGCCTTTTGCCAAGTATCGCCTTCCGAGACTTTCAGCAGTATCTCAAAGACTAAAAAGGTCCAATTCTTTCTTGAAAATGTAAATCTCCTCGCATAACTCATCTATTGTTAAAATTAAAAGAGACATGCGTCTGTATCCGAAAGTACCAAGCAGGGTTGAGAAGTAACTCGTTACTTGTAACGAAGTTATAGTTGTAACGAAGTTACTTTATATATATTTTAGACCTCCACAGATCATATTAGGCTTTGCCTTTGCCCATAAACGCCTTTATCGACTCTTAACAATTCAAATGTAGCTTTAATATTTTTATTGCCATTGCAAGAAAGTGACTGCAAAGTAACAATTCCTTACTTTTTGAGTAACTGTAACCAGTTACATTTTTAGCGAAAAAAAAACTGTAATTGTAACTAAATGCTTTTATAAAGTAACTTTCCCAACCCTGGTACCAAGGTACATTTAACTTCATTCATTACTCGTTTGTCGTGAAAATAACCAGAGATTGAAGGTGCTCGTAGAAAGCAACATTATAATTGCTCACAATATTTACCGTGATCAATAGTCAACACTTTTCTCGCCTTCATCTGTAGGAACTCGTCTAATGCCAGTCGGCCGTGTTTGATACCCGCCTCCTCCGCTAATTTGTGACACATACCCTACGATTTTTATGTTTGGTAGAGAGACTCGCCAAGAGAGACGATTAGCTAAAAAGATCTCACCTTATGTGCATTGTGATCGACGAGACCACCTATGACGTACACGCAATCGTGCTCCAAACAATCTATCACGTTTTTAGACTCGCTCGTTAGGTATATGATCTTGTCTTTGGGATAAACGTCTATGTACGACTCGGTGTGAAAGCTCACCTGTAATCGATGGAAATTTAGACGTCTATCACTTGATTTTTCTAATCGTGCAAACACCAAGCGTTTAAGGTTTCCCGAAGCGTCGCTTAACTTTAATCTTGGTTTAATTCACGTTTGTCTCTCTTTAGAGTAACAGTTGGAAAGACCTTAGGCCCGGTTTCACCAATGTCGTTTAACTTTAAGCGTAGCTCAATTTGTCCTTGTCTCTTTCCAACTGTTACTTTAGAAGGAGACAACCGTGAATTAAACTAAGATTAAAGTTAAGCGACGTAGTCGCAATCACGTACATCCCAGTGCTGATATCCGTTGTGCTTCTCCATACTGGCTCGCGACTTGCCGCTGAAACTGGTGAGGGAAAATTGCATGGGAGCCGTGGCTCTTCTGTTCAAGGTATAGCACCTCAATATCTGTTTCGTCAGCTTAGCGATGTCCTTGTCGATCATTAGCTCATCGAATGACAAGTCGATGGTCACCGTGAGCGTGCAGGCACTCGCCGCCATGGTGCTCCTCTTTAAAAGCTTCCTGGACGGACCTAGGCTCAAGTTGTTTGCACGCGCGTACGCGCGCTTCTCCCTCGCCTTAATCCTCTCCCGTAACCTACGTTGACGAGTGTGCCGTTAGGATCTATCCAGACAAACTTGCAGCACAGCTGCATAAGCTTATGCGTAAAGAAAATGATCGGTTTATTTCCTTATGTGTGCACTTACACAGATAGCACCCACAGTTCTATGGATATTCTTCTGGAGTGCAAATATTCTTAATTTCAGAATATTCCAATCAAATATTCTACAAATATATATAGATTATTACAATTCGAAAATTGTATATTCATAACAAAGAAGAACGTTTTTAGAATATTCCTTCAGAATAATTGTTGAATATTCATCGAGTTTATGTATTGCACATTGTTTATTGCGTAATACACTTATCTTACGTAAAAGGCAGTGTCATCATACCATATATAACCGACACGCTGTAGTCGATAGATTATTCTATTCACATTCGAAAAAGATTTATAGCAGTGCCAGTCGAATGTTTCACGAGCATAAGATAAATATATAAGAATGACCTATGGAATAGTCCAAATATTCTTAAAATGTTCATAGGAGTGTCCTGTGCTATCTGGGTATGGCCCAATCAGATTCCTTCTGCGTATGTTTATGTGCCGTGCAAGTTTGCCGACGAAATCGCATAAATGAATTTTCTTCTCTAAAAAAGCACGTGACGCTAGAGAGTGCAGAATTAAAGAATAAAATCCGTTCTCTCGCAAATTATGAGCTGGTTTAAAGAAACGTAAAAGTAGCGTATGAATTTTTCTTTACAAATAAGGAGATTAATATCAAACGCTTCGAGATAAATTGAAGTCGTCGCAATTTACAGAGTTTCGTACGTTGTTGCCGCGTGACATCGGGAGTTCCTAACCTCTTCGCGCCCCTTTTCTCCAGCCACTTCTCCTCCTTCTGCAATCTCTTCAATTGACGCTTGCTCATACTCGTCGGTGGCAACTGATCCGCGACTATAATCGCATTGTCCTCCGGGGAATTCACGTCGTCCATCTCGTCAAGTAATTAACTTTCCCCCGGCGTGAAACACGTGAATCGCGCTCGAGTCTACTTGTTCACCTTTTCTTCCTTTTGTTTCTTCCCTTCGAATATCTATCTGGGGAACGCGCACAACTTTTAACTCGCATTTATCCGACAATTATTTCCACGGCAACGTCGGCCAGCTTCAAGCTGAGACTTATTTTTATCGAGTCAATTTTGCTCCACACAAATCGTCACGTGTCGTTCACATCTCAACCTCCAATTCCGAATTTAAAGGTTGAAATTTTAAGTCCCATGTCAAGTAATTAAAAGCAGAGACGGGTAAAGATACAAATTTATCGCGAGTCGTCAAGTACGCCACTTGGCGACGTTTTTGGGAACTAAACGACGCGTTTTTCTCTTGATCGAGCTGGAGTCCCTAGGAAATAATTCTACCAGAGAGAAAACCTGAGAGCGGCCACGCCGGCGTTTTAAAGCCAACGGCACACGATACTATTTTTCCTACTTGATTGCACACAATACTCACCGATACGATGTGCAGCGGCGGAATTGTATCTTCGTTGATTCTGCAATCGCGCCCGATGCCTCCTCCTCCACTCAGGGGTGCTTTCGCGACGTAGATCAAAATGATCCGGATCAAAATGATCCGTGCTATGATTGGTCAAATCTGAAATTTCGTAGCATCTCATTGAAATTTTATTCAATGAAATTCCAGATTTGACCAATCATAGCACGGATCATTTTGATCCGGATCATTTTGACCTACGTCGCGAAAGCACCCCAGGTGTCGTTGTCTCAGCTCTCCTCCGACACACTCGCCAATTTACACTTGCGTTTGTAAAGTCACTTGTCACTGTCACTGTATCCAAATGCCACTTCACTCGCAAATTTACACTCGCGTTTGTAAAGTCACTTCCCAGTGAGAAATGATTCGTCTATCGACGTCGATCGACGGTTGTCACTGCCACTGTATCCGATGCCACTTGTTCGGTTTTCACTATGTCCGATTGTCACTGACAATGAGTCCAATTGCCACTACGCGCCATAGCGATCGCCGTTTCTTCTCGCACTTGTCGCGAACGCGTATCAAGAAAGACTAATACGATATGCGAAGCGGCGCGGGTACAACCGATCAATTTGACTGTCGCCGCGTGAATGATCCTGCGTATGGCGCCGTAAACATCGCAAAAACCGAGCGCGGATTCCAAGAAATGACGTAGCGCCGTGAAACCTCGGTCAAAAACAATGTA